TCCGGACGTGACACAAGGGTATGGAGTGAAAACTGAATCCCGGATAGAGTGGCCCGACCACCGAGACCCGCAGACCACATAGTCTATACACTACCCCAACTCCCGGTTCAGGCCCTTATTAGGAATGATACCGGAGAATGGGATATCCAACGCTTACATGACTACTTCCAGCCAGAGGATATTGACCTAATTCTTGGGATTAGACCCTCCAGATCCTCCGCTCCGGATGGGTATGTATGGAATTATACAAAGACAGGAGTATATTCGGTTAAAACCGGCTATGATCTACTACAAGCAAACAAGACAAGTCCCACACAAGCCTTGGTATTACAACCAAGCATCACTGCCCTGCAGAGTTATGCGTGGAGGATCGAAGCTCCAAGCAAGATGAAGCATTTTTTTGTGGCAAGCTATATCAGGATGTGTGGCGACAGCAGAGCGGCTTACCTACAGACACCTGGGCACCGATAGGAGTTGTTCTAGATGTGCTGACCCAGTGGAGTCGATTAATCACCTCCTCTTTGAATGCCCCCCTGCCCTGCAGGTTTGGGCTTTATCGTACTATATGTCCATTCCGGGTGTCTTCCCGAGTAAATCGATCTACCAAAATATAGACTTTCTTTTTTGGAAGAGAAAAGAGGTGGCCCCCCAGAGACCACAATTCGACACCTTCCCATGGATCTGCTGGTTCATTTGGAAGGCGAGGAACGACAGACTCTTCAATGGGAAAGTCGTTTCCCGGATGGATACCCTTCGACATGCGTCCCTTGAGGCAGAATGTTGGAAAAAGACAAATGAGAGAGAGGAAGACGAAGAGATACATGTTGGGCCTACGCATGAAGCAGTAGCAGCGTTAGAGGCCCCTGGGCTCCCCCAAATCCCTTGCTGCCAAATTGATACCTCATGGATCGATCATGGCAGCGTAAGTGGCTTAGGGTGGAGCTTGAAGGATCAGATGGGCTCGGAGTGGTTTGGTTTACGAGCATGCAGTAGGAGCCGCTCAGCTTTGCATGCAGAGATGGAAGGGTTACTATGGGCAGCTTCATGTCTGAGAGGACTGCGGATCCCTTCACTTCGGCTCGAAACGGACTGCTCGGATCTCGTCGACATGAGCACAAACCCGGAAAACTGGCCGGCTTTCGCAACAGAGATCGAGATCTTCCCGAGACTGCGGGAGGGCTTTGAGGATCTGAGGCTGTCTCATATTTCCCGAAGTTTGAATGGTCGAGCAGATGCCCTAGCCAAAGAAGCAAGAAGGAATGGAGTTATATTTTCCCATGTAGATCAGACCAGGCCAGACGGAGATGCTCCCCGGAGGATAGACTCGTCTGTCCACCACTTGATCTAAACCAAATGGGTGTGCGGAAAAAAAAAAAAAAATCATGCAAGATAAGAAACTCGTGGTAAAGAAAACCATCTTCAACAAATGAAGAAAACAAAACATTTGGATAATTACCTTTTTCTCTTACCGAGGAAGACGAACATTTAGTTTCATATAGTAAATTATGTTTTAATAAAAAAGTTTTTTTTTGAACAACTATAAAGCAGATTATGGCTATAATTTTTTTTTTTTTTTTAATATTTAGAACCTCACGAACAATTGGTGATCTCAGATGTTTATATCAATGATGACTTATTATTTCCATTATATTATACTCCCTCCGTTCCTTAAAGATACATATTCTAGGAAAAAAATTTGTTTCTAAAAGATCCATTTTTTACATTTTCAAGGTATGTTTTATTAAATAATTGTAAATTTCAAAAAACTTAATTGCACTATTTGATTTTTGATTGGTTTAAAATTATAGAAAGAAGATAAATACAAAAAACTATGCAAATTTATTGTGT